TTCTATTTTTAATCACCGAAAGTTACCGACTACTCACAAGTGAGTAGTGTCTCACAACACTACTACTACTACTTTACACAACTGCATGAAGGCCCTCAGCTGCATCTTTTGGCCGAATAATGAGGAGAACATTGAACAGCTTGGACGCTCCTGTTTCAACTGTACCCAAACAGCTCAGACACCTGCCAAGACGAATCTCCAGCCGTGACCAAAGCCGGTAGACACGTGATCACCTGATCATGTTGATTTTGGCGGACCGCTCATTGGGCACCATTTCCTCGTTGTGGTTGACGCCTACACAAAATGGTTAGAAATATTCTTAATGGAACGTGCAACCACCGGAGCCATCATGAATGTCCTCCGTAGCCTGTTCAGCAGGCTTGGATTTCCAGAGACGCTGGTGAGTGACAGCGGAGGTCAATTCAAATCAGCCGTTTTATCTGCGTTCTGTGAACGATCTGGCATAAAGCACGTCCGTGTGCCACCTCACCACCCACAGTCAAACGCTCAAGCCACCTTCAAGCCAGTACTTCAGAAATCCAAAAGGGAGAAGTCCTGGAAATTTTCGTACTAAACTACAGGGAAAACCAAATATTAATGTTCCGAATAGAGATCTACGTAATCTTAGTTGGCTCTGAAGTGTGGCTGCGGCACGCCAACCAGATAAAACCGACAGTCTGCAGTGATAAACCGAACCCCGAACCAAAATTGTCGTTCGACATAATAATGGTCAGAATCGCCATGCCAGCAACCAGCAGTGAGCCACAAAAACCAGCACCCTCAGTGAAGACTGAAGAACCCTTGCAACCTCGAAGACGAACGGGTCGCAAGCGCACAGCAATAGTGCCGTTCCAAATCAACCCCAGATTACGATCCTACGATCAGCCGTCGAGCTCAAAAGGGGAGGTGTTAGGACGATCGTAAACGCCTCCGAGTCAGGCCACACGCACGCTTGCAACGCTTCAGGCAAGCTGAGCCCGATTGGATAATCACAGAACGAAGCAGCCAATCCTTGTTCAATCGATCAATCGATATGTCATGGGCTTAATCGGATTGGTGGTTCACT